GTTGGGTGTTTGGGTCCACCGACCTGTTGTAGGTGCATGTAGCGACCAACGATGAGCCACCGTATTGTATCCACGACCTCAGTCCATATCGCAAAAGCATTCTTGGAGTCCACCATGTACAGAGAGCATCAGCATAATAGCCGTTGGTACTGATGTTCGTGGATACAAGAATGGACGTCACGTTATACAGAGATCGGTCTACCTATCACCACCTAACTCGGCAGCTGCCATTTCGTCAGCGGCGGCACTCATCCCCCACTGGGGCTTCTACTGCCGCGCTTGGCTCTCACACGGCCGCACCAATATCTCGAACGAGGAACATTCTACCAATGATACAGTATCAGCCATGACTCTTCGCACCAAGTGAGGAGGACAGTGCCAAGCCTCTGGCAATGATGGTGGCCAAACTCGACATTCACGACCGCCATGCAAGTGGGAATCCAAGCCCTTGAAACAATCACTTTCGCTCGTGGGAAACTTGCTTGGACTGCCTTTACTGGACGCTCTTGACCACATGTTCCCCCGAGACAGCGACGCAAGTTCGATTGACGCTGGCCATGTCATGTATTCAAGCAATTAGCAGACGCCCACGCTTGGTGCAAACGGACGTTCGGCAACCCCTGTCCCCGTCACTACCACGAAGTATGTGTGAGCGGGTTGTGTGTGAAGCCATGAGATGTGGTGTTGGATGGAAAGGCGGGGACAATGGTGTTCATGGTGGTGGGTAGATGCTTGAGTGATTCTTCGTACACTTCCACCGCGCGCGATCGAGGATTCGATCCGAAGGGGAGCAAAAAGTTGCAGATTGTTTCGACGTACGCAGGAGAAACTAGGTTGTCGGAAAGAATTGCCAACTCAGACAAACCACGAGAACGCACCCCAAACTCTGACACCACCACTACCACTGCGACGAGTGAAGAACGGCCCTTTCGCAGATCGTGCCAATAAAGTAGCAGCTCGTCAGAACCATCGCGGTTGAAGCGCTTCTCTTCGGACCAAATCATTAGTAAGGAAGAGATAGTGCTACTTTTAGGCAGAACTGCCTCTCATATTCTTCGTTGTAGGCACAGCATCATAAATCCCGATTTAACATTTGACGCACAGATTGCAACATGAGATGAGCATGTCGCCAAGGAAATCGACATGTTGTTTGAAGTACTTAAGATTCATATATGTACTCGTCGGCGATCATGTCCCACTTTCGTTGCGAATGGATCAACCTGAACTCTAGACTTGCGTCCCCGCGTCACATGTCGACATGCATCGGAGCAGCAATGGCCACGAGTGTCTCGGCAGGGTGGTGTCGGTGGGGCCCGTATAAAGATCACAGCGCAAAATTCTCGGATTTGAGAGGACACAGCCAAGTACTTGCGCAATTTGAACCCAAACTCGGCGTTCTACGACAACAAGACCCATTCAATGGGCGACAAGCCGAACCCGGACCTGAACGTAGACGAAGCGACGTTTCAGG